TCGCTCCATTCCCCCACTCCTTGCCCTCTCGCCTAATCACCATAAACTTCTTAGCTCAGCGAGGGCGAGCTAAGAAGCTAAAAGGGAGAGAGGGCAAGGAGTGGAAAAATGGAGCGAAAATGGCGCAGACGTGAGAATACTCACGTTTATAGTGTCTTATATTGACCAGGGACATCTGTCTCATGTCTATTTTAGTTTTTAATATTCTCACTATACACAGTAGTAAATGTAGAAGGAAGACAGATGTGTGTGTATTCTCGGCTACTATTGCATAATACTATATTTATATATAACATTATACATATATTATACATATATATAATAAATATAAAGACGTCTAAAGACGTTCTAAAAACGTCCTAAATAAGGTATCTTTAGGACATTCTAAAAACATTTTAAAATTGATATCTTTAGGATGTTCTAAAAATATCCTAAAAAAAGACATCATTTTAAAATTTTTTTAACGATTGGCATTTTTAATTTTGTAACATTTTACAAGCATTCTTTTAACATTGTCACGTAAAAAATCATTTTCTATAGATACGTGATGTTAAAATATTTTATTAATAAATATCATAAAATTTTATGAAAGGCTGTAAGTCTCAGAAAAGATTTTGCGTGGAGTGAAACTCAGGAAAGCATTTTTGTTATCAAGACGCGCGCAACGTCACTTCATAAACCGGTTTAGTAGAAAGGAGACGCAAAACGTATGTCCGCTCGCTTCTACAAACCGAAAGCCGAGCGCACACGGACATGTGACGTCAGTTAGGTTAGAGATGCACACAAGCGTAGTTAAAAAGTTCTAATTCTGGCCGCATTTGTCGCTAATGGCGTACATGTTTATCATTCACTTGCTGTTATGTGTAGTGTTTTTAAGTGCTTTATAACCTCTAATAATACCTCTATTGTATTTACTTTCATCGATGGATTTTACAAAATGTTTACATAAATTTTCTGAATAGAATAAAAAAAATCTTCTCATTTGAAAGTTATTTAATAGTTTCAGCAAAATGTCAACTGGTATATTAACATTTTTATATATAAAACTATTTTTATCTTTTAAAATAAAACTAATTATTTTTTTGTTTATTTATATATTTATAAATTTTTTTAGAAATAGAAACGAGTTTGCTGGTGATCATATTGGACGTTAATCCAGTGCAGCGGATTGTGAAGCAAGAAACAAAGATATTATCACAATGCTTAGATTCTACAGTTGTTTTTGCTAATGCTCATCTCATGCAGTCATCCAATAATGAACTGGCAATTATGGCATGTCACGGTCATAGCACCAGATTTCTTTATCCATGTGAAAACGCAGCAGAAATAAGACAGATGGATGGTCAGTATGAGAAGTTTACCATGGTAGAGCGTACAGTGCGCCAACAATTACAGCAGGTCATCAGTGAAATCTCCATGGATACTCCACTAAATATAGAGAGTCTCATCTCTGGTGCACTTAGTATGGCACTGTGTTATATTGCTCGATTGGAACGTGAAAAAATTGCTGGTCAAAAGCTATATCCCAGAATACTGGTGATCACTGCCAGTAATGACTCAGCCACACAGTACATGAATTATATGAATATATTTTTCACAGCACAGAGAATGGTTGGTTATTAGATTTTTATTATTATAGTACAGTTCATAACTTTTATAATGGAAGAAATCTTATTGATTGCTTCCAGAATGTCATTCTGGATGTGTGTAGTTTGGATCAAGAACTGACACTCTTGCAACAGGGTTGTGACATAACAGGTGGTAATTATCTGAAGATACCACAGCTTGCTGGATTGTTACAATATTTATTGGTAAGATTATTTATGGTTAATTTTATGTATTTATTACTTTAATTGTATATGCTATAATAGAATTGTTTTCTTTATAATTTAGTGGGTTTTCCTGCCAGATCCTAATGTTAGATCAAAACTAGTTCTTCCCCCGCCAGTAAAAGTGGACTATAGAGCAGCATGCTTTTGTCATCAGGAACTTATTGACATTGGATATGTTTGCTCCATATGTTTGTCAAGTAAGCGCTATTATAAAATTATATAAAATTTATAGCTATTTTAGTCAAAAACAAGTTGAATTTAAAGAATATTGTTAAATTTATTTATGTTGAAAAGATATTAAATTATCTTTCTTACAGTTTTCTGCAAATTCAGTCCAATATGCACAACTTGTCAGTAAGTATTTTTATGAATTTTTAAAATTATATATCTTGTTATATATGATAATTACGAATTATTGCTTTTTTTTTAAGTACGGTATTCAAAATGCCAGGACCTATTCCAATAAAAATGAAGAAGAAGAAAAAAAATGTAGACATCGTCCATTAATTTCGTATATTTTGTAATAGTAATTTGTAAATAAACTGTCATAATATAAAACCATTTGTTTGTAATTACAACTGATTAAGCATAAGATTAGGAAAATTAATTCTTATTAAATAAAAAGAACTATTACATTCACATAAATATGTCAAATAACGAATGATTTAAAAACAAAATTATGTTTCATGACATAATTTTGCTGCTGTTTATTGCTGAACACAGTATTGTTGATATTTGTACATTCTACATAAGTTGCTATGTTGTAGCTCGATTATGCGTGGGTGGATGTTGTTGCGGCATGTAACCAATTCGTTCGTGAATTTCGCTCTGAGGAACCTTGCCACCCCATGCGGGAGGATTCATAGATGATTTTTTCTCAGGATCCTTTTTTGCTTCGTGTGCTTTCCTTATTTCTTCATATTCTTGCAGATCATCTAGACGCATCTCTATACGTGTTGGACTTCGACGTATCATCTTGCTGCAAAAAAAATTTCTTATATAATAAATCTCGAAAATTAAAAAAAGTAGAAAAATTAATTGAAAGAATCATTGATAAATACGCGAATTGTGAAAAAGATTTATATTCTTCGAAAGAATCAACCCGAAAATCAATTGAATAAAATGTATAAACTACAACAAAATTTTGCAAGGATACTTTGTTCCTTCACTTTTGCTGGTTATTTTTCTAATATCTAAAAAAAAGTTTGCTAAGAATGTAAATTTTTCAGTATTAAATGAATTGACGAGTAATCCAGAATTCTCATAATTAGCAATTTATTGAAGACGAATTAAGGAAGTATAAAAAAAAGCTATTCTTTTAATTGGGCACCAGACGGTAAACTACATCCCTGCCCCCTCACGCAACACGGTGAGATACACGACTATGCTCCAAATAATCCTAAATCAAGCTATATCATTCTAATCACGTTCGCTTCTTGGCGAACATGTTTTAACGCGAATCACACTTTTCCAGGAATCCTGACCGCAAGTTTTGATTGAAAACTTAAAAGCACTAAAATTGTCCCGAAAATGCAGAAGCGGAAGGATTGGACGCGCACGAGCACGCTTTCGATCGAGCAGCGCTTTTCACTGAAAATTCGCACAGAATTTCGCGAGTTTTCGACGACCAGAAGCGGATACTAGTCAAGCATACTAATCGTGGGCATCTGCAACGTGAAAAAATGCTCTACCTCGAGGATTACGTCGAAAGTGCGTAAGAAATGCGTCGTGCTCGATTCGTCCACGAAATTCTAACCTCCTCTCGTGGCACAATTAACCTAAAAAAAGCTCGATCTGCTTGTATGACTTTACGTATTCGTGACGAATGCAGCCATTTTTATTGATGTTCCGCGGGCCGATCCGCGTATCCTTTTGCACGCCGACCGCGATTATTCTAAAATGACAAAAAGTCGCGTTTATCTTGCGATGCGATTTTGCACCGAGAGGTTAGGCGCGTGTTTATCGATATTACACACGCTATTATTAATTGTTAATAGAAAATAATAAATAATTATCATAATTTGTAAGTTAATGAATGTTAAATTTCATTGTTTTCATGTTTTTAGGATTGATTAAAAATTAATTAAAATATTCTTCTTTTGGATCATAATTGAGTCAAAAAATTCTAATGTACACAGTAACAATGATATACTGTTTCATTGATGTAATAAAGAAAACTCAATGAAAAAAGTTAACATAAATAATAATGATAAAAAGGAATATCAGTTTTGTAATGAATTCAATGTCTATTTGTTAATAAAATAAATGAAAAAGATTGATACAAAATCACAAAAAGAACCAAAAGAAGTTTAATCGCATAGATTATTTGGAATAAAATATATATCAATCTCGGACTGACAGAATTTACTTTGTATTTATAAACAACTGATGATTTTTTAACTAACGTTTTATGGTTTCAGTGATCGAGCATCTTCCACAAGAGCTGAGGGATCGATTCACTGAGATGAGAGAGATGGATCTAGGCGTACAAAGTATGTACTATTTGATATATAACAGAGATAACAATAATAATAAAATTTCATCTTTTCAGACTCTATGGATAGCCTTGAAAAGAAAGTAAAGACATTCTTCTGCAATGTCAAAAAGATGAAGCCTAATGAAAAGGAGGCGGAATATGAGGCAATCAGAAGAGAATATTATAAAACTCTGGAGGACGCTGATGAGAAGGTGCACCTAGCCACTCAAATGTATGATTTAGTGGACAAGTACCTGAGAAGGCTGGATCAGGAGTTGCAAAAGTTTAAGATGGAACTGGAGACTGATAATAAGGGCATTACTGAAATTCTGGAGAAAAGATCCTTGGAATTGGATCAACCAACCACGAATAGCAGTCAAAAAGAGAATCGTTACAGTTTCACGCCGAGCAGAACGCGGGACAATCACAGTCACTGTAAATATATCATTAACATAAATTTTAATTTCCATATAAAACAATACTAAAGTTGTAAAAAAATTAATATTCTCCGATGAAAAAGCTCGAGGATGATTTGTAGAATTTGTCGACTGTAGCAAATCTGTTATTTTCTGATCAGAATAATATCCAAGTTGTAACAATTATTAAATTTTATGCTCGATAAAATTTTAGCTCGATCGGAGAAACGGCGAGACTCCAATGCGTCTTCCACGTCGGTCGAGAAGAAGCTGGCGATTGAGAAGCTACCAGCGATGACGAATCTGCCTGAATCGCGGCCAGCGTCGGCGAATTCCGGGCCTATTATCGCGACCAATGTCGCCCCGGCACCGGCGGCAATCGCTAATTCCGTTGGCTCTGTGTGTTACAATCTCGGTCACATCGGCGCCGGTGGTAACGCGATTGCAGCAGCCGCGTCGCAAGCGATTGCCGCCACGCAATCGATGCAACAGGGCAGACGATCAGCTAGTCTCAAAGCCAGCTACGAGGCCATCAATACCGGTGGTGTTCACGCTGCGGAATTTAGCAAAGAGCTGGCCGGCGCAGCGCAAACTGCTATTGCAGCCATTCAGGAAACCACAAAGAAGCATAAAAAGTACATAAAATATATAAAAAGAAGAAAGCGAATTGCAAATTAATCTGTGATACATTCTCTCTGTTTAAGTATTTTTTTTCGACGATTTGTATTATATATCAGTTTATGTTATTAGTTTATATTAAGTTTATTTAATGTTAATTAAGTATCTTTAATGTTATATATTTAATTTTGAAAGAAACAGAGACACTTTGGATATTGGATTAGAAATCTCTATTAAATTAAAAAGACTACAATCCTTCAATGAATTTTGTAAACAAATTTCCTACGCGGCAATTTAAAGATTGCGATCTTGAATTATAGGAAAGTGACTGCCACAGTACCAAGCTCAAGCGTAATCGCAGCTACGATCCAGCAGCCCGTATCGCCACCGGTGGTAACAACAACGACGCAAGTAGTGGACACGGACAATCCAGACTGGACGTACGATCCCAACGAGCCACGTTACTGTATATGCAATCAAGTATCGTACGGTGACATGGTTGCGTGCGACAATTCAGATGTACGATATTTTTTATAAATTATGCTTTAGAGCGCAGAGGAGAAGGTCTATAACGTTGCCATTTTCAGTGTCCCTTTGAATGGTTCCATTATCCTTGTGTGGGCATCACCGCGCCACCCAAGGGAAAGTGGTATTGCCCTCAGTGCACATCTTCAATGAAGAGACGTGGCGGGCGGAAGAACTGATTAGGCAAAAGGAAGAAGTTAGGAAACCTTGTTGACTACGTTGAGAAAGCATCGCTGCTGCTACTACCTCTTAGACACTATCCGTCGTATACCAATTTAGTTAGAGAGCCGTTATTAGCTCTGATTTTGTATGACTTTTTCAATGCGTTATCTCGAGTCACGTCGTCGTAATCTCGGCCTTCGATTTTCTCCCTTCGCTCATCGAAGGTATGTTGAAACGTCAATGTTATTCTATGACATGTCTTACGAATATAACGAATTGGAAAGTTCCCTAAACGTCGCAATGTATTTTGTGTATCATCGTTACTTCATGTGTTTCATGCTTTCGGGAAGCGAGACGAGGTGAATACAAGGTGACTCGGAAGACACGAGAATCCTTAATGATAATGTATTCTTGGACGAATTCAACTGTTTTTCGTCCAGAATTTAGATTTAGACACTTAGTTATTCAATTGTCGAACATTTTTCTAGCAAATTAGAAATGTAAATAATCAATGAGACTCTGTTTTTTAAGTAATTTTAGATGGATTTTAGTTTAATAGGAATTTAATTTGAACTTTTTAAAGCATCGAGATATTGCATGTTGAGAACGAAGAATTTATACTTTCGATCAAAACAAAAAATGAATGACTTTTGATCTCGCTTGAGAATATCGATTTTTTCTTTCAAAACCACTCTATATAAACGAATTTTGAGAATACTACTTTCGAAAAAACTGTAGCTAATTGGTGTATAAATAAAACGAATCTTGCAAAAACCAATGTTGCTGCAGGAATGAATCGCAATATTTCTTTCGGCTGTCTTTTATATCCACAAGTACAATTCAAAATTCTTATTTTCGATCAACTAATTTTTGTCTTCGCTTTAAAATCACTACACACGGCTGAAACACTTAAAATTTTATTTCACACGAGAAAATACCAATCCATAATTTACTTACCCGTGCTATTAAAATATCGGTAACGACTGAATGTATTTAGTTAATCTATCCGGTTTAAGTAAAGACTGGATAACTAGTTCGAATTGAGAGCCATTCCGTGACGAATTGAAATACCAAAACCAAACCATGTTGATAGTAACCAACAAAATAATATTAAAACGTATAGAACACATTTTCTTTCCATTTATTGCTCTCAATAATCGAAAATCTCGCGTCAACAATACCAAGGCCGCCAACTCGCACGCTATGTGCATTTATTATTGTAATTGAAGTAACTTCGTTGTACAAACAGAGATTTCTCAATGGCGTACAAGACGCGACTACGATCTATGTCATATGTCTAAGACGAGCTATGTCTTGACACGAAGATTAATACTAACGAAAACTTTTGGAAAATCAAAGTGATTGGCGATATAGAAATATAAATCTACCAATCGGGTTATTGTTATTTAACATACACAATCGTAGTGTTTTTAAAATACTGGCAAGTGCTGATAAAAGTTTCGAAACGTCTTAGGACAATCACGCTTACGTTTATTATTTACATATAGAGATACTGAAAAATTCAGATGCGCGCATAAAATTGCCCTCCTAAGCTATCTTACAAAAATGAATTTTGAGGGGACAAATTTCGAAAGTAGAACCATAGACAAAGTGGATAACATTATTGCTAAGAATACTGTTGTGAAAATGAACGATTACATTTCAAGTAATTAACCGTTACGATTTCTATCCTTTCGGTATGAATTTACTAGATGCACTCAACATACAATCTGAATTTTAACTCGTGCAGGAAAATATTAATTCAAAATTCACTCACCGATCGTTCACAGATACTACAGCTCTGCTTCATATGTTTCGTTGCTTTCAAAATAAAGCCATTCTTGTATGTAATAAAAAAATTTCGTGTAATAAGCAATATACGATGCCAGGAGACAAATTAGGATTATCCCGACAAACCATGCATTGACGATAATTTTCGCCATATTTTTTAAATTATCGAACAATTTTCGAATTGATATCGTTAACATATCGTTAAGCGCATAGTAATTACGCGAACTTGGGAGAATCTTGAATGACTGACACGATCTACTTCACTATATTTCCTTCGAGCATCTCGTCGATAGAAGCTTCGCTACATTTACAAGCATGGTCAAGTGAATTGTTTATGTTTGCATCGAAACAACAGATGTGACATTCGCATCAAGAGAAGTAGTACGGCGACTGCCTATCGAAACCATCCTGTGTAAATCAAGCCTGAAAGTATACATTACGAAAATTATAAAGGATTGATATATGAAGAAGAATGCAGAGACTAATGCTATCGTCAAAATAAATGACCACATTAATCAATTACAATCAGTTCACCATCCCATTTGATGTTCTTATCTTTCATCTATTCTATCCTCTACAAATTCACTAGATGCGTTTCACACAACAGCTGAAAAATTTTATTTCACACGTGAGAATATCAAGATTCACTCACCAATCGTTCTTGTCGAGTACCTCCATTTGAATCATAAATTAAGCTTCTGAAGTGAAACTCGAATCTCCGATACATCAAAATATACCATATGATTAGAGAGAAATACACAAGGTATTGATAAAAGGTTAAATGAAAATCAATGTCCTGCATTTTTTCACAGTGATGTGTCTACTGTTTAAAATGATCGAAAAACTCGCATTAACGATGGACTAACACTGCTAATACACCGTGCGCGATTAATCATCAATGCGATCAACAATTCAAATTTCAAAAAATCCTGGATGACAGACACGATTTGCCTCGCATTGATGTATCTTCAAGATTGGCGAGCATCACGCCGATAAGAGCTTTCCGACGTTTTCATGTGATCGATTACCTGTTTACATTGGAACAACGGAACTACGAAATCCTATGCACGTGCGAACAGAAATGGAGCAGCAATCAACTTTACAAAATCCTACCATATCATTTGCGAAACAAGAACTGCAATGAATCAGTGTACTGCAAAAAAATTAGCCAAGATGAATAATCACATTTCGATAAAATGTTCGCCGTTTTTGTGTCCGCAAATATGGATTTATTTTACTAATCCGATCGAATTTTTATCTCTCGTTACGAATTTAATCAACATAAAATCAATACGTACTCCAAATTTCGCGCATGAAAATATCGATTCAAGATTCACTCACCAATTGTTTAGAAATCCTCCATTCTTCGAACACTTCGAGTTGTATTATTTGGTTTATTCAACTGCAGCTCGTCATTTCTTTGCAATTCTGCGTGTTCAATTTCATGCCAATCAAGCAAAATCAGCCAAGAAAACCATACTGTTAATGAGAGAATAGATTCCGTGTCCCACCAATACCGCATAGTATATATTAATAATAAAAAATTGATTATCGTGAGATGATTCATACTCCGTATTTCGGCCCACATTATCAGTTGTATTTATCGTTTCAAATTATCGAAAATACAGTTTTGTATTAAAAATATTTAAATCGCTAACGATACATATTGTGATTTATAAACGCGATTTATTATAAATTTTAGAGGACCCGTAGAACCTACTACACGTCAATATTTTGTGGAAAATGGCAAATATCTGATAAAACCTTTGCCATGCTTCAGAAGGATGTAACTGTCAACGTTTATGTTTACGTTTACGCGAAGTGTTACAAACGCGAAACTCGCATCAACTATCTTTTGAAGCCACTCCATATAAACATTCTGACTACCAATATCGAAAATAAAACTAACAGATTGAATCATAAAATGACCAGAGCAGAATTGAATACTGCTATCAAGATAAAGGATCACATTTTCCTTTCGATTAATTGACTACAAGTTTAGTAATTTGAATTTATCTAATTTTATTATAATTTCTAATTTCCTTCTGCAACAAAATCAGACAGCTCTAAATTTCATTTTTTGCGCACAAAAATAATCATATAAATTCAAGATTCACTCACCGATTTTGAAAATTGTTCTAGTATATCTTCAAATCTCCAATTATGTTATTTTGTATGATTATGATAGTTTGATATCACTTGCCGAACTTCTGGCTGCTTTATAATTAACTCCCAAATCAAATATAATATTAACAGCATACTTAGATACACAAAATATCTCTGTAGAAAAATATCTCTGACGTTTACAAAGTAATCCATGACGTACCATGTCACTAAGAAGAATTGGCACAAGCACAATAAAGAAGTATAATTTATGTCCCACATTTTGTCTCAACAATTACCGTATTTATTGCTTCAAGTTATTGAAAAGATCGCATTAACGACATTAATGATATGCACTAAACCTGTGATTTATTGTCGAAAAAATTCTAAAGGTCAGATATGACCTGCCTCGCGTCAAAATTTCTAGTACATTGACAAGCATATCCACTGGTTACCGACACAGTCATGTATCTGTCCATGGTTATGTTTACGTTTAGAATACTAGATTCTATATAGATGCATTCTGAGAAACACTGACTTTGAAAGTAGAATTATTCAGTCAATTGATGCCTAAATAACTATGTGCAGAAATGATAAATGATGACGTTTCTTACCAGTGATTGATCGTTGATAATCATCAATATAATTCTCCTTGTTTTCAAACTCAAGGTGCAAATTGTAAAAAGAGAATCTTCATTGCTGATCTTGATCTTCGTTCTCGGTGCTAACACCTTTGTCTGTCCTGACTATCAAGGATCATTGTAATCAAATCCACGAACAGTGATACTCATTTGAGCGACAATCCTAGCGATTAACGAATATTCAGAATCAATTGTCATACACGGAAATATTAATTTAGAATTCACTCACCGATCACTCTAGGCATTTCTCTATGCCATCATAGCTGCTAGTCCCACTTCTTCTTCCATGGTTCCATTCATCTCCATATGCAAAACATTTCGTAGCATCCAAATGTACGTCAATACCATAATAATTAATTCCAGCAAATAGATAAAGCATATCCAACCGAGTGATATATAATCGTACCACATTATCTATCGTCGTATTTATCGAAGAGCCTGAATTAACAATCGGATCTGATGATCGACACTGTTAATAACACACTTTGCGTGCCATCACAAAACTGGCGAGTTCAGAAGCACACACTGTCTTGCGTTATCACGGAAATTAACGAGCGTCTCATACTTTGAGACATTTTGGAACGATCTTGTATTTGCTTACGTTTATATTCACGTTTGTGTTTACATTAAGGCAATGGATGCGAATTTAAAATCATGAAGATTGCTACGATTGTCACGTGATTGCAGTCACGTGAATTACATGATTGGCAGCAAATGTTATAGATGGTACGCGGATCATGTAATCGCGCGTGTTTATGAACTAAGCACTAGATAGCTCTGAAAGTATCAACGAACATACCGCCAACTATCAAAACAATGAAGATTTGCGATTGCATTCCTGACATTGTAAGTTGTCTATAATTCGGGCATGAGTTCACGGTGTACTTTTCAATATTGTAACGGTCAAAGTATCATTTGCATTAGATTAGATGAACATTATGAAGCAAAAAATGTGAAACTTTGTCAATATTATCACGCGTTTTCCGTTTATAATCTCACTCTACTTTGTTTCAAATTAAGTCCGCGTAACATTGTCGGAAATTGATATTGGAGAAGACCACGTCTGCATTTATGTAATGATCATCTTTATATACATACATTTTTGTATGTTTTTAATCGTAAGTTTTAATCGTTGAATAATAGAAGAGGTAATTAATTACAGGACAATTAATTACTGACAATGGTGAAAGGTAATCCTGGAAGTAAGTCTGAAGACAGAATCGATGTCGACAAACCACTTTGGAACCAAAACACGTATTTTGGAAGATGGATGCATTACGCTTTCATCACCGACTGTCGCACAATACTTGTGCCGGAGAGCAAATTGTGGGAAGCGAAAAAGCTCTGCGAGGATTATAAGTGAGTTGCAACAATAAAATTTTTAATATACCTGACTTAATTTGATTGGCACTTTAATTATACAGGTAGCAGGTTTTTTTATAGGATAATTAAAAATAAATGAACAATATGTCATTTTAATTAGACTAGGAAAAGAGCCGGAGGGCTTGCAGAGAAAGGACATAATCTATGCTAAGAAACTGAAAGATAGTGCCTTCCATCCCGACAATGACGAGCTCATGCATGTTGTTGGCAGAATGTCCTTTCAGCTACCTGGTTGCATTGCTCTTACTGCAGCCATGTTGACTTTTTACAAGTTGATTTTCTGCAAATAACAAATAATTATTTCCTACATTAAAATTTTCCTCAATTGCTTTCAATTCTATTTATCAAATGTATATTTTTATTAGATCTGCCTTCAGTGTGATTACATGTCAATTGATTAATCAAAGCTTCAACGCGTTTGTCAATTACACCAATCGAAACGCGATGAGCGACGAAACAGAGGATACCAATGTAATCCAGCAAGCCTTCATATTCGCCACCACAGCGAGTTGCGCGGCTGCTTTGGGTTTCAGGAAAGTCTTTGCAGGCAGAGGAACCCTTTTTGCAGTTAATTTATTTGTTCTAAACTGTTTTTTTGTCCTATAGTTTAATGAGAGGACACAAAGATCTAGAAAGTGTCATTAAAAAATGCCATAATTTTTTAATATATTTAAAGTGGTGTATTAATAAATTTGTTTAAATTTACAAATTGTAAAATTCTAGATATTCAAGAAAAATTTTCAATTTTGGACTAATAGTTTAATAAATGTTTTCTTGCAGAGGTTTGTTCCGTTCTGTGCAGTGGCCACCGGTAACATTGTAAATCTTCCCATCATGAGGCAACGGGAGATCGCACGCGGTGTTCCTATATTCGCCAAGAACGGCGATGAAGGGTGCATTATGAAGTCGCAGGTGGCTGCCGTCAAAGGTATCTCCGAATGCATCATCACCAGGATAATAATGGCTGCGCCAGGAATGCTAATGATTCCAGTCATCACACAACGGATGCGAGCGTATTGCTTCTACCAAGCCCGTCCGTGGATCACTTTTCCTTTCGAGCTCGGCTTGTTAACGCTCTGGTAATTTTTTATACTTTTAGATATTTCCGTTGACATCATTGCATAAATTTGCACAAAGATGATGGTAGTAAACACATGTTGGGAAACATATAGCGCAACATCGATTTGTGCAATTGTGTAGAACATGCAAATCGATGTTGAATAGATACTGCACGATGCAACCTGTTGCATCGTCCACGACTTTAAGTTCTAACATTGACGACAAAAAAGAATAACATAAATTAAAGATAAAGCGAAAGTTGCAATACAATTTTTCTTTATGCAGTTTGTTGGTCATGATTCCTTCGGCGCTCGCCATTTATCCGCAGGAAAAGTAAGCAAATTTGAATTAATTCTGAGAATTTCTGGATAAAAGAAATAATTCTTTAAAGAAAAAATTAATATATTAATACGTTTTTCCCCATTAAGTTCAATGAAACCAAAATGGTTGAAGATATATCCAGAAGAATATAAAATATTTCGAGAGAGAATGGGCAAACGTAAACATCCAGATAAAGTTTATTATAACAAAGGATTGTAGTCGATAAATAAAATTCGTATTTGATTGAATTGTTAGACTCTTCGTTTAATTTCTAAAATTTTTGAGTTTCTGAAAGGCTGCGTCAGGGTGAAATAATTGCTTCTTAATTATTTATCAACGTTTATTAACATTGTTTATATATATTACTACATTTTTAATTGTGTAGCAAAGTTTGTTGTCGCTAATATAATTATTTATGGCAGCATTTTTATCGTTTACAGATTTCTTAAATGCAAGGTAAACAATATCAACAATCATATCAAGTGATATTCTAATGTTATTTTGCAAAAAAACAATTTTACGACATTTAAAACATATAAAACTTAATAATTAACGTTAAAATGCTTGAGAGGAATCATTGAGTGTTGAAAGGAAATTATTGCTTTATGTGATTAGACTACTGTAGTAAAGCACTTGTATTGTCAACGTTTCATTCTTCTCACTTATAATTCCTATTGTATCGCGGCTCTCGATTTCTCACACATTTTAGCGTGTCGATGGAATTTTATTTCATCACTCAGTGAATATTACGTTTTGTGACTTAATTCTAATTTCTAACAGTGCTATTTTAATCATGGCGCGGTGTTATTCAAAATGATGTATTTCAAATCACGTCAAAGAATGTAAATTTTTAACGAAAAACTCGGGAGGGTCCTATTGTAATAATTGACTCTAATTTTTAACAACGATTATATTTACATGGCTTCGCCTCTGATCCCGCAGAAGAGTTTGCCATGCGTGTGCATCATTTGAAACAACAACATTTACAAAGGATGGAATTAGCGCTTATTTAAGAGACTTTCATAACATTAGAATTTTTTATATACCCCCTTGCGTGTGTTAAGTACATTATAATCCCTTGTTAAAATACAAATATGTCGGCAGTTTGCCGTCTTCGCAGTTTTTCTTCAACAACTCGTAATTTTCTGGTTCCCAGCGCTGCAGAGTGGTCGCCTTGATGGAGCTGCGTGGAAAAACAATGCCATAAAATAGAAAAACAAGAATAGAATAGAGAGGAGAGAATTAAAATGTGGAAATATTATTTACCAATTTTGCGGGAACAATGCGCACGCCGTCGGCACCATGAACGACAACCTATAAGGATTAAGATTTAGTAAGTAATTAATCTAATAGTTTAATGACAAGTGGTGCATAAAGATAAGAACAGGATACTCACGAAACACCGCACATCATTATTTGCATCGGCCCGTGCAAAGGTCTAATTCGTTGCATCCACGCGTATTTTTCCAACCTTTCCATTATGGGCGGTAAGATAACTGCAGAAATTAATTGTTTTGTTAAATGGTTTCATCTTTTAATGATGCAGCAAATAAAAATTCTGTACGTACGCATGCCGGGTGCACACATGACGATTCTCGAAATGACTACTTGACTGATGCCTTTCACAGCCGCAAGCTAAAAATATTTATAATGTTTATTGCAAAATTCTAGTACAGATAAAAGTGCGACAGCTATTCTTAGTCATGATATTATTTTCTTATACGAGATCAATTTAATAGAATAAATTAGTTTTTAAAATTAAGTAGATTTATAGTAACATGACGAGATTTTTTACCTTCGATTTTGTAAGTTTTTTGCCGTCTTCGTCAATGAGATCCACGCCATTATTGATTTCGTTCTGCCTCATTAGAGGGATATTAGCGCAATTAGCGGCTGCCACTGCGGCGAACGGGACGTACCTCTGAAAATTGTTTTTCCTCTTGAATTAGGTTTTCAGTAATCTAAAACGAGTCTCTCAGGAACTCTGTTCTAAACTATATATAGGGTGTTCCAAAAATAGAAACTTGAATTGCATTCAATTTTACACTAAACTTTTCACGCTTTTCTTTAACCATTCTAAATTACGTTCGAACGAATTGTGTATAATTTATATAAGATCTGGAACACCCTGTAGCTTTCTATCTTTGCAAGTCTTACAGCCATGAGAGGACTCGCGCGCTTTTCCCAAAATGATTTACATCCTATCGCTGTTATCATCGCTGCAACGGTAGCGCTAATATACGCTACGCCAAGCTGATTGGTGGTTACAGGACTATTTGCGTTTCTGTTCGTATAATTGACGAGCGCGTTAAAAGACTGGTTGACCCATTGCCAGAAAACTACCGCTTGCGTTGTCCTACATCAAATCATCAACGTATGTTAAAAAAGAAACAACAACTTGTTGCAGATTATATTCGTCAAGTTCTTGCGATAAAGAGAAAAGTTATGAAAGTTTAACAAAAAAATATTATTTGATGAAGATTATAGTTATATAAAAATTTAATATTTTTTAAAAATTATAATGAAAAATAAATTGAATAAATCATAAATATTTTTTGTTTGCTTCTAGTTTTCTGAAGATATCGATATAATTAAAAAAATGTTTTAATTGTAGGAGGAAAAGATGGGTTTATCAATGGATTGTGTCCTGCGAAATACCTGTAAAATTGAAGCATTGCACCAGTGATAGCCATTCCTCCCGGCACCTGAAAAGACATTCTGCCGAAGACGTTTTGCAGGTCGCCGGTGTCAGGATGAAAGGCCGACTCATATAGCTTCTTCGCATAGATAATTTGCTCCCTGGTCGTATCGGCTGGCTCCTTTCCAAGTCTACAAAGCACAACGCTTCTCAAGTAATTCGGTAATATAAGACATCGAATACAAAGTATGAGGTATTGCATTATTTTTTAATAACAAATCTTGAACAAAATTTCGAATTAAATATAAATTCTATAAATTCCCAATTAGTTGAAAAATTAGTAAATATATTAAATATTATATAGAAATGTTTGACATTATTGTCGATAATGTTAGAAATTTTCTGACTGACAAAAATGTGGCAATTCTATTGAAATATGCACAAGATATTTACTGGTTTAAGATATGCATACTTGAAAATGAAATTGATATACATATTTCATCATCACCTATATTGCTCGCATAAATTTTTGGCAGCTATCAACTCCGATTCGCGCACGACGCAGGTACGGAAGTCGGTCATCCACGCGAAATACTTCCATCTTCCGACGAAGGTGTTAAGATCCCACAAAGGCTTGTCCAGGTCCAGTCTCTCACTCGCCATCGCGCCTGACTAAAAAGCTCTTCCGGCACAGATCTAATCAGAATTATTATAATTCGCAAAACAGATAAAAGACACACTTTGCGAAAATGACAAACTTTTAAAATTGCAAGGTATTACAAAATTAACTTTTAGCAATATTTATTCGATATTTCCGTTTATTTAATTGTTGCATTTACAAATTGCGAAAGTTTAATTCGATTCGTACGTCCGATAAAAATATACAAGATGTTCCAAAGCGCGGGAATGAGATATTTTAAGAAAAAATGTGTACTTGAACTGGATTATATCGTACGATGAACTCTTTACACGGTCATATGTTTCGCATAAACCGCGTGCACCTTCGTAATATTACAAGACGTCCGACCAAATGAAGATATATTTATAGTTTATTGCGCGAGCTCTGCACATGAAAATAGTGCTCGGCGGTTGAGCGTTTTTAATATACGCGAAGCAATTTCCGTTCTTTGTCACTGCAAAGATGTTACGTAATGTTTTTTCGAACCTACGCGATAACAATTGTAGAACAAAAGATAAAGATATTTACTCATGCAAATTTTTATTGATACGAATTTAACAGAGAACTAACTGTGAAATTATTTAAAGAGTTAATTCTTCACTATTCACTGATGTGATTTTTAAACCGACTTAAAGACTATGTTTTTGCTTTTTTTTGTTTTTGTTTCTTTTTATACGTCAAAAATTTTAAAATCATAATCTAGAAATGTTTAGTCCACTTTATATATATAGTTTGAAAAAGACGAGTTTATTATTTTACATTATTTTGAACTTGCTTTTATGTATAAGAAAATGTTTTCCAAAATCCGGCAAAAGATGATTTGAGTAATAAAATATTAAAATCTTCTTGCAGGATTATATCGCACTGTGTACTTTTTATGAATATTAGAAATCAGATTTTGATGTTGATCCTTCTAGAATCAAACTGCGAATGCAAGCGTAAAATCTCGAAAGATTGCATTTGCACTTGCAACAAGATACGGATCTTGATTCTTAGATTTCCAATGGTTGTGTGATAACGATTATCTGCATGCTGCCTCAAGAACTTTGCTAATTGAGATATCTTTTGTAGGGAGCCGGAAAGATTGGTGACCGAAGTTTTTATTATGCATAAATCTAACGAGTAACCATGTTGCATGCGAAATGAGAGAGCAACATTCCGCGAAAGTCGGAGTGACGTTGAATTGTTCGGAGCGTCACGTTGGAATTGATAGATAAGCGCCGTTGCACATTATCAGCACGATGCCATTCACGTGCGTCAGGTAGTGCTAATCATTCGAATGTAAGTCGAGATTGCGCACGAGCGTGTCACACACGTTCGAAACCCCAGCCTTTCACCGATTCAATCATGAATTAAAACACAGTAGAAAATTGTTGCAATCAGTAAGTGAATTTTCTTTCTCCTTTATTCCGCTATTGAGTAATTTAATTTAATTAAACAAGTATAAATTTATTGGTTTCTCAGAATTATGTTTAGTTATCAATTGAACATTGATTAAAATTCAATACAAATCAATTTCTCTTCTCTTTTAAGCTTTACTATTCTTTTTCTCACTAATGTTTTATTTCAGTTTTTGGAGCGATCAAAGCAGGATTTCCGCCTTCGGTTATCTAGCAAACGTCAGTGTGATATCAGTTCCAACTGTCAATTAGAAGGCCGCATGGTGTGAACACAGCTTAACAGTCGTCAACATACTACACGCCCCGAGAGTACGCATTTTACACGTATGTCAAACACTTCTCTCGCATATCACTTATCTCTTCCAGCACTCGGTTACAGCCGATATCGACCCTGTGCTGTCAGAGTGGCCACGGTTAAAGAACGACCTAGTTTTCGATGGGGTTGCACCGGTAATCAAAAAGTGATTTAACCGGTCGTTCCTTTGCATCAAACGTCAGTTACAATGGAGAAGAATTTCGCCGCTATCGGACGTTAATCGGGAATAGTAAAAACGACTGGCTCTCGTTGCACTCGCGATTCATCGCGATCCATGCAGCGCTTATGCAACACATCTTTATTAAAACATCAATCCATCACTCACTTACCGTGCGACGCACGCTGTCGCTGGAGCTGCGGCCGTTCCCAGCCGCTCTGTCTCGACGCCGACGAGTGCTGAGCTGAGCGCCGAAACCAGAAGGTGTGGTAATAAATGCGATGACGGCAACGAGATGCGACTTTTGTTACGTTACTGGCCCCGGCGAGTGTACGTCTCAATGGGAAAGTTACGCGAAGTCATATTCGCAACATGACAGTTTCAACGCGATCTAATCTCGCATTATCGCTCATTTTCTGATCGGAATTGAAGACTGAATAAACGGGAACATAGATATATAGTTGCGGAAAGAAAATTATATCACTGATATAATATTTTAATTTGCAGAATGAAAGTACTAAGTCCAGGGCCTTTGAACTCGTGTGTGTGTCCTGGTATGATAATCCGCCTCCAGCGGGCGCATGTGCACTACGAATGGTGGAACGGCCAGCTGTGTAGCCGCCAGGCTGTGCACTCTCCCCTGCCGTTGCCGCCCCTTTAGCCGTCCACATTTTATCCTGCTCCCCATCCATCCCCTCGTCGTAAAGCATCACCGCCCGCCGCACACAGCCAGTCGTTCCTCACGTCATCCGGCTCGAGCGAGCGAGCGAAAGAGATAAATAGCGGGAGGAGGAAGAAAGAGAAAGAGGAGTGGGAGAGAGAGGCTTCTTTCTCTTTCGAGGGAGAAAGAGAGAAAGATCAAAACGAGGAGGGGGGGTGCGTCGCAGCGCAGCGCACGAGACGGACGACGATACGAGACGAGCCGCTCGCCGCTCTCGGTCGGTTCTGTCGTTACCGGAGCGGAGCGGAAAGCGCAAAGCCCACACCACACTACACACCACCAGCTCGCTCGCACGCTCGCTCGCAATAACTCTAAACTCGAGGCAAGATGGCGGCCGCGGCGGCGGAGGTCCCGTCCGCGCACCTCGCGCTCGCCACGGGCGACAAGATCCTCGTGTCCGTCGAATCCGTGCTCCCCGATATCCTCGTGGTGTCCTTCGTCCACGGCGCCAAGTGCTTCCAAGGCGCGCTTCTCGACGCCACTAAAAGGTAAGATTAAGGCAGAGAGAGAGAGAGAAAGAGAGAGAGAGAGAGAGAAAGAGAGAGAGAGAACGATGAAGGAAAGACCTCGTGCTGTGTCCTATCTTCCTCTTTTTCCCATTTTATTGTGCTTGTCAAAACCTTTTTGTCCTGTCGCCAAAATGTTAATTTTCTTCACCACTTAGCGACTTTGAAACAAAAACGTTTGCTTAGACATGTTCATCCGCTGAGGCGGTTTCCGACGGCCGGGCACCGAAGGTGTGCTTGAGACATTAGCTGATTCATTGGTTTGGCGGTTCTATAATTTTTCAAAATCAGATCCTGCAGGATAGAGAAGGCTAGTACTTGATGAATCGAATGTGGAATGGATAGTCAGATTTGTTTATAAATTGTTTATGAATTTCTCCGAGAGTTGTGCATGGGATTCTCGAGATCAAGAGAAGATCTCCATGTGTTTTTTTGGGGGATTGGCCGGTTCGAAAGCACTTCAGCCGCTAATGGCTGAGTGACGAATGCTTAATGGAATGTTTAATGAACATGTTGAGATGACTAAGCCACGTACTGTTCGTTAATTTCTTCAGTCATGTGTGATTTCGAGAAACTGTAGAATACGCGTCTGAATAGAAATCCAGAGAGGAATCGAAAATTTTTGGATTACTAAAGTTTTTTCATCATCAAGATTATAGAACAAAGAAACAATCGTTCGATGTAGCGGATGATAATGACTAGGCTCTGTTCTCTCTTCTTGTGTGGGTTGTTGTTCTCCTTGCTTGGTGTAGGTACTTCAGTATCCTAGGATACGCTTTCTAAAACTTCCAGGTATAAATCCTCGAAAACTAGTTGATTCATGTTGTTTTTTTGGATAGTTGTAGTTCTGTTTAAGAAGAAATTGACGATTGCGTAAAGAAGATGAACGTTAATGATGTTGTTTCGCGAATAATGTAGAGTTTATTTTCATATTCTTTATAACGATCCTGAAATTTTAACGCAGGAAGCGAAGAATCTGAAACTTTAAAATTCAGATATTCGAGGACTTGAGAATTCGAGAAATTTCTTACAAATTACATTGCTGTAAGAAAGAAGATCTCTATAATGATACTTTACAACACGAGGATCTAAGAATTCTAAGATTTCAGGATCGCCGTACGCGAAGACTAAAGTGTAGAATAGTAAACAAAGGTCAGGATCCAGCAGAATGAATTATGTACAATGTAACATTTCAGTGTTATAAGAAGTCTATCAGCCGCATAATAGCTTATCAAAATTCAACTCAACTTGAATTGTTTAGATGCGAAGTTAAAAGCTCAGGTATATAGAAGTATTCCGAACGTTTGACAGCATCAGGATCCAAGGAGTCGTTATATAATAAGTCTAAAATTAGACGATTGCAAAAGTTCCGTCGGCTTTCTCAGTGTGGCAACTTTTAACTTTTCAATTCAAGAATCTTCTGAGCCTAACCGATCCATTTCATTCATCAAGCGAAATCTAAACATCGTTAAGAAGGAAATCTTTTAAATTTATTCTACAAAAATTTGCAATTTAGCGATGTAAATCTACTTCCTCAAAAATTTTGTTACATAAGCAGGATGTCGTTTTAATTCGCTGAAAGAATGATGCGAAAGAGTGTTGAAGATAATAATTACTTCTGAAAATTTAGAAATTTTTTTTTAAAGTATAACTTTCAGTTTTAATGGAGTTAAGCTTTTTATTGTTTCCTATTGTTTTTTTATCGATCCAAATCTTTCGAAAGCTGTACGCGTCCGAGCTCAAATTTCTATAGAAAACTTCAAACTTTAAGATTTAGGCTTTTGTATCAAGATAAGTATTGGAAGTTGAGATATTTGATTGCTAGAATTCAAGGTTCAAGCTGCCATAGAATTTGACTGACTCGGTGCGACGCTGTCCGACGGCGCGCTACGCCCGTCGCTTCCACGCTAGCGCACTTATGCCAACTTGGCGTGAAATATCTCATCTCGTTCGAAACGTAAGCAAGTCCCGAAAAAGAGCGCCGATAATTCTGATAACTTATCTGTAAATTTTTCGAACAATGTAGAAATTATATTTGTTAACGTTAGCCATAAAGTGGGCGGGGAATATCGCACAAATTTCATGTAATGATTCGTAGATGATAGATATATTATGTTTTTTATTCATTTTTTTATCCATTTTTCTTACGTATGTATATATTTGCATATATACGGTGTCTCGCAAGTCACACGCTTTCTCCCGATTGCAAATTCTTCAGACAGCTTGCAATGGAAATTTCTTTTACAATGGTTGACCGGAAGACTATCAATTATTGTGATTCTCTTCACACGATATCGTTGCAACCAAGTGGCAGGGCAAGATTAAATTATCTTTAAATTGAAAGCAGTCTTTATCTGAAATACGTAGATATAGAGATATATGCGATAACAAACGTATAAACGATGAAAATATTTAACAGAACTTCCATTTTTTAAATTTTTATTGAGGCAAAGTGAACTTTTGATAGTTGAGAAAAATATGCTGGTAAGAAGACAATGAAAGTTCCGAGTCACCCAGTACACGCTAAAAAGACCTCGTGGTGACTCATGGTCTCGTATAGTAAACGCCACCTTGGCGATATATAGTCGTTGCTCATTTCTCTAATACGAGTGTGGTCGTTTCGATTATTAGGAAATCAACTAAGTAGTCGTTGTACTCTGTGCATGTGCGCGTAATGTGTATGTGCGAACAATATTATGCAAACATGAGTTAATCCGCGAACTTTTGCAAAACAAGTTCTACGTACAGTCGAGATGGTAATGTGGAACTTGAAATTAAATTTATTCTGATACTATAAATCGAATTTTTTTGCCAACTGCAATTGTTAGTTGAATTTCTGCATTATTAATCGAATTGAGTATAATTAGGCCGAATATCAAGTTAAATTTGTTGAAAATTTATGTACCGCGGGGCGGGTCAACTTATTTTCGCTCGATACCACGCAATTATCCAATTTATTCAATTGAACTGTTATGGAAATCGTTAATTCTAACAGCCTCGAAATCGCACCGATTTCGATTTCCGCCGTATGGAGCTTTCGTGCGGCTACATCCGAATGGCAATTTTGTTCGCTGGTCTTTTTTTCACTTAAACAGTTGTCGTTTTTCTCAGCGTTTTTCTTGCAACCGGGGTTAGTTGCCCCGTGAGTTCAGAGCTGGGCTCATCGCCACGACCGAACAGCTGTTGCCCGTTTTCTTACCCCCGTCCTGGGTTTTCTTGTCCAAGCCAGCCGGCCAATGGCCGCGTCGTGTCGCAATTGCACAACCACGGTGGCAGGGCTGTAAGCAGGGGTGAGAGGGTTGTTTAAAGCCCAATCAGTAATATATCTTGTTTTGGGAAATAAATTATCCCGGAGAGAAAGTCCTTTCTCGTTTCTAGAAAGATTCATTCATCCCAAGATTCATTTCTGAAAGAATTTTTTGAAAGGTTTAGTTTTGACAATCAATGTAAAGCAATGTTTATATTGCTATTATTATTATATTTCTCGTATTTGTTGCTTATTATCCTTTTGTATTTATCGTCGTGCTAGAATCGTCGTGTTGTCTTCAGACCAATCGGCAATACCTGAAATACATTGTATCCCTTCCCTATTGCTGAACTATTTTTTCATGTCTATTGCGTTATGATATACGTTGTCAAATTTTACTGAGTCGGACGGGATAGCAGATAGATAAGCAATACAGGCGGCGAAGCAATATTGCTGTTTACGGCACTGAGTGCTAGTCGGGGCCACCGACCAACCAGGCCTGGCTTGTGTCACGTTGTGCACGACGGTATGGTGCGGTAGAGGTTCCCATATCTTTTCCTGTAATTCGATATTCTTATCTTATTCTAGAAAGATGAAATTGTGATACCAGAATTAACTTACAGAGAATTTTCATCGAAAGACGTTGATGAAATATTTGCACTCATCGGATTAAGTTAATTTCCGAGCAGATTTGTGCAGGAGACTCGTGTAACTTTGAAGCTTTCTTTTCAGACAGATCATTACCAGGATTATCTTCTAAAAAAGTTTCCTGAAAAATGTTTTGAAAAATGTAGAACGATATTTATATCAATTATAGAGAATCAAGTCACCAGTCCATTTCCTTAACATGTCCTTCCGCTAATTTTAAGCGGATTTTGCCTTAATGGAATTTTTATTGAAGCAGTATTTTTATGGAATTTTTATTACCTCGTTAAATACCATTAAATTCGCATTCAAACTGCAGATCGATGACTAAATTAGTAGATGACAGTCCAAGGACATGAATTTATTAGATTGAGGAACGGTATTTATTGATCTTCTCGCCGAGCCAAAACAGGCTTCAGCTGTGCAGCTCGCGCGAGATCCAAGGTTGAGAACCCCTAATATAGTGGTCTCGTGTTCGTCAGGAACAAAGGGAATATCGTCGAGGTCTCTGAGAACGCCACCATTTGCGGGTCGAAACTGCGGATGTGTGCGTGGACACAAAGCGGAGAAACAGCCGCGTATACCACGCTGTCGTCCACGTTAACCGTCTGCTTTATTAACTTAAGAAATGAGCCTGTTGTTACAGTTGTTTTTAAAACGATAATTCCGAGAACGCCTGGAAAATAAAGTAGAATTTAATTACGCCCAGTCGAAGATTAACAGAATTTTGCTTTGATAACTGGAAGCTTGGCTGAAGTCTAAGCTTACATTATTATATATACTTTCTTATATTTAAATTAAACTGAATCCAAGCCAAACGAATCTATATTAAAATTAAAGGAAACAAGGAAAGATTGATAATCTTGAAATTAATATATTTATACCTGGATCTTCGTTACGAATTCGTTGCAAATTGAACAAGTGGCGATAGCATGGAGATCTCCTTGATTTATCAGTTCCATCATAATCATTTTCACGTCGTGGCGAATCTGCCTGCTCTCGATATTCCCTCCCGGCCATTTTTCTCCCCCTCGCTCCCGGGCTGACTCGGAATTTCGAGGGTCTGTCTGATATCGGGACCCAGAAAATATTAATGGATATACCGTCAGGGCTGTCGCTCATTGTACGCTCCTCTCTCGAATCAATACCATGACATGGCCGCGTTGTCGGTGCACGAGAAGCCGGCGAAGCATACCCGAAAGCGTTGCCCAATCTTTCGCTCAGCCATTCTCATTTTGCGGCGATTTTTGCCGATGGCTTCCGCAGAGCAGTGGTCTAATTTACCTATCAAGACATTTGAGAGAGACGTTAGTTTTAAAGTCGAGAAAATTCAGAGAGCTTCACGAGTTCGATCTCCAAAATTCAGAAAATAAGATTCTTGTCACTTTTAACGCTAGAAATCTAATGCACTAACTCAAAGAGTTTATGCATTGCATCAACGATGTAATTCTTCTGAATAAAAATAGAGAGAAAGGAAAGTCGAAGAATTCTTTGAGGCACAGATTTGGTATAGAAGATCTGGAATTAATATTATACTATCTGCTGCTCTTATAAAGGAATGCGAGTTTTTTGACTTTCACTTGAATTATTTTCTACAATATAAATGAATCTATCGCTACGCGAATAGGAACTTGATTAAATAAGCAATTTTAACTAATTCTCTCAAGAAATTCTTCACATTTGTCATATTAAGATTTTACAATTTTAAATGAATAAAATATTCGAAACAGTACAAATGTCGAAGACATCTCGAGAAATCGTTCTGATCTTTTAAACGTCTCAGAGATTATTCTGAGATGTTATTAAAATAACACGATGTCACTTATTTTGTCGTAGAGGCCTTCCTTGGGGTGTCCAGCCTCCGGAACCGGTGCCGGATCCCGATGGCGACAAGTTGGCGACGATCGCGACGCGATTCAGCTACTTCCAGGAGCGGAAAATCGCGTCGTCGGCGTCGACGACCACCGTAGTTCCCAAGGTCGACCTCCGCAGGAGCATCAATCCGCCCGCCAGGTATAAGAACGCGAGGCCCACAGTGAGACTGAGGCCCCGCCAGGTGCTGTGCAGCAAATGCCGATCGATCTGCAACGAGAATAGCGAGAACGTTGACGTCAGCAAGAAACGAAAGCATGAAGACGTGCAGCAGCCACAACAACAACAATCGCAGGTATTACAAATGTTGCTAGGAATTATAATACACGGTGTCTTATCGATTGTTCAACGTAATTTTCTTTAAAGGTTTTTTCTTCAATGATGAGAAGTTTTATAATAATAATTTAAAAATTTAAAAACTCGAGGCTTCTTTTAAGTTGACAAAAATTTATAACGAAGAAATTTAGAACTCTCGCAAACTTTCGATAAGCCTAATAACATGGACTATGAGTCTATATTCTCTGATAAGGCTTCTAGATTCTGATAAGCGACTGTTTTCGGTAATACTGAGCCGATCTTATCAAGATTGTTGTATGTTAGATTTCTATATCTAAATTATTATATATATATAACGTATTTACTGAGAAAATAACAATCTTTATTTTGCAATTTTGCTAGCTGGTTTTGAGAAGAAGCGACAGACGTTGCGCCCAGCAACCGCAGAAAGCTCAGCGGACGTTGCTTTCGGAGTGTCAGACGGAGAACTCGGCATCCAATCAAGCGGCGACGAAGACGGCAACTTCGAGTCCGGACTCGTCGAAACTTGGCGCGTCGCTGATCCCGAAGTTGTCGAGATTGCAGCCTAACGAGATCAGCAACGCGATGCAGGGCTCCGGTCAATTATCCGGTATCTTAATTTTTATTGCTTGTTGCACTTCTCGTGATGTAACTGCCGCAAAAACTAGGAAAGTTTAAACTCAAACAGCAGTTGTTAGCAACTATGATTTCTTTCACGCTACAAGCCAATATTGCGAGAAAAAGTTATAATAATTGTGTTTAGCTCTTCGAAATTTTTTTCAACAATAATGTTTCTGCAATGTGTGCAGTTTTTTTCTTTTACGAGCGTAGATAATGTTAATGAGTTATTACATATTAGACACGTGGAAGATTAAAAAAACGTAGATTATACATAATTATACAAAGCATTTATTAAAATCATAGTTGGTTGCGTAATTGAAAGCAAAGTTCGAAAATAAAGTTTTTCTGTGATGTTTTATCGCCAATCATGCTTCGATATTATAAATTCTTTTACGAAATAAATTATTACGTACGAAAAAATTATACAATACAAAAATAGTTCATTGATATTATACATTATAATTGATTTTTAAAAGCAAATTTACAATTTTTTCCTTAAATTTTGTTAACTTTGTACTAAATTTTTCTGTACATAGAGCACATAAATTTTCAAGTTGTGTGAGAAAATTTGTTCAAGCTGAATTTAATCTTTTCTAAAAATAAATAAGTGCTTACTGAGCTATCCAATTTCTGAACGTGACAAGTTAAGATTTTCGCTAAATTGTTATTCACGTAGTTTCTCGCACTAAAGACTGTCTTGTTTCAGATAAAATGAAGGTCGCGTCGAGCGCGATCTCGCAATGGTCTGTTGAAAATGAAGAGACGTCATCGAGAAACGTACTGGCGTCGTCGCGGGTGGAATCCACCGCCGACTGCGACAGCAATTCTTCGATGGCGTATTGCGCTACACCGAGAAGGCTCAGCAGTTCATCAGTGGAGAGTGCGAAAGTTCCCGAGGAGGAGGACAAGAAAACCTTTGCAGCCGCGGACTCGACGATGAGACTGAGAGCCGGCAGAGTGCCAAGGAAGAAGCGCTCGGTGGGCTCGATGGAGGATCTTTGGGACGAATCGGTGTTCGAGGACCCCACGAGGACCGCCCGGACCACGCCGGTGATCAAGATCTCGTTTGGTGCGCAGGGTGAAGGGACAGTTCTCAAGATACCGGCGAAACCTCAGGATCCTGACGCGTACGAGCAGGAGACAGACGATGCCGACGACGCCCAGCAAGAGAGAGATCCCCTGGAGCTGCCTAGGTCCTTCGGCAACGATTACGAGGGTGAGGAGGACGGACAGGAACAAGTGGATCCTCAGAAACAGGGCGGTGTGGTGAAGGACGCCAGCGCGAAGGCGGCGAAACGGGCTTTAAAAAAGGCCAAGAAGGAGGCCAGAAGAAAATTGCTGGGCGGAGTGTCACCAGCGAGGTCACCTTGCAACGGATCGCCGAGGTAAGACGTCGCATGACGAATGCAAAAATTACATAAATCCGAAGACCCGCAACTCGCGCAGTTGGTTTCACTTATGGATATTTTTCAGCCTTAAAACATATCACGATTTTATTCTTCTAATTAATTTATAATATTAAAAAAAAATTATTTTATTACAAAAAATGGGAATTACATAATAGTCACACAGTTAACAAGTTTTCCAGTGAGATAAAGATTCTTTATCAACAATGACTAATTTTACTGATTCATCATTTCGATCTATATAGATACAATTCAACGTTCGACCCGCTTTCCTTCCATCGACGGAAGCATAAAGCAAAGCACAAAAAGAAGCATAAGGAGGGTCGAAAATACAAGCAACAGCAGCAGCAACAACCACCACAACCACAACCTCAACCTCAACAACAACAACAGCAGCAGCAGCAGCAACAGCAGGAACAGCCTCAGTCCGATCAGCCGCAGTCTTCTTGTTTGGATTCTGCAGAACAGTCGCAGCAGAACTGGAACGTTCTGCCGGACGGTGGCGAGTACAGAGCGATCAAGGAACAGTGCCTGAAGCAAAAGTTGTCGATATCCTTGAAGAGACTGAACACGAACGCGTACGCGCGTTGTGACTATCCTGTGAGCAACGCGTCCTCCGGCTGTAAGAGCTCCGGCGGTAGCAGCGACGAGCTGAGCGAACACGAACCGGAACACGAAACCGCGCCGGATTTCCCGCCGCATCAGTCGCACCCTCTGGTCATGCGCCTAGCTGCCACTCCCGTAGCGCATTGTCTCACGGCCAACGGTAGGCGGATGGACGTGGGTGACGTTGTTTGGGGCAAGATTCATGGCTTTCCCTGGTGGCCCGGCAAGGTATGTACAAGCTGTTTCTAAAAATTACGCTTACTTCTATACGTCTAATATAATAAATAACGATTTCTTTCACCTTGTCGCATACAGGTATTAAGCATCACGGTGTCCTGCAAGGAGGACGGGACCTCCTCAGGTCCGCAAGCTCACGTGGCTTGGTACGGATCGTCGACGAGTTCGCTGATGTCCTGTGATCAACTGAGTCCCTTCCTGGAAACATTCAAAGTATGCTCATTTAAATAAATACAGTTGTTTACACAGAAAATTCGGAGAAAGAGACATAATGTAGAATATATTCTGATCATTTCTGATCGTAAACTTCCGATATTTCGTTGATAATAACTGTAATTTTAACTTCAGACGCGGTACAACAAGAAGAAACGCGGCCCATACAAGGAGGCGATACGGCAAGCCCAGAACGAGGCCCGAAGTCAGATCACGCCTAACTCGACCAGCAGCGTGTTGAACGTCTGCGGTTCGCCCCGCGAGGTAAACGTCCTCTCTTAAGGGAAGTTCTCCAACAACCATTCCTTACTGCCGAGCATCCGTCGATGTGATAATTGTAGCGCTCACGGCAAGAAAGTGTCGATCGATATTCGATGACAACTCTGACTTTTTTTTTATCGATTTACACTTTTTCTTTCGAATCTTATTCATTTACTATGATTTTTTTATTTTGCGGATATAATCTGTGGCTTATGTGATAAATTTAAACGCTTGAAATTCTTAGATTTGGATAATTGCTCTCAAGTTATCATTTTGATGTTTCGAGATTTATATGGATTTCATATATCTTCCGAGTTTCCTGATTTTTTAACATACGCTATGTTATTGTAATGATAATTATTGCTGACGATAACGATAAAATCCCCGGAGAGATAACGCACTTGCGTCACATGTGCGGGTCAACACTGACTTTCCACGAGCGCTTGAATTAACGACGGATCGGAATTGTCGTGTAACATATGAAATTTTGTACATACCCCTTAGCGCTAATGAAATAGTTACTGATCGATGTTCTGTCAGCCATTTGTCTCGCGATCGATCGTTCAGAGCCAGTCGCGTACCGACAGATCCGATTAACTATCCTCGACTGACACTTCCTCATTTCGTACTGCATCGCGGGTTTAATTACATTCCTAAAAGGAGTAAACATTTATCTAACCGGTTGTTGATGTTGAATCGATATTCGAGTTTCTAGAGCCTAAATTTGTGTTGTTCTTTTAATTTGTAAAAAATTGTTTACGACATCTTTGGATTTCGATTGCTAATATTTCTAGGAAATTGTATTTTTAAATCCAGCGATGCCTCGAATAGATTCTCTCTCGTAAGATTGTAACGCTCTCACGCTCCAACAGTGTAATATATTTGAATTACATCGTCACGTAATTCGAATCCTCTCGATTCATAATATACTTTTCGATCGTGAGACCTTTGGATCCCGCGATAGAATCGCATTTAAATGCAAATTTTTATTCTTCGACAAAGGCGGTCAATGTCTGCGTGATCGACTGACTCTCGACGAACCGCGTCGCGAACTTTACTGCCATCGTCACTGGCTTTTCTGTCCTCGGCTTACCAAGCGGATGGTAGCACGTAAAAGTCTTACCCTAGATATCTCTAGATTAATCGTAAGTACTCACTGTGAGGTTCGTTTTTGATTAATCTCTCAAGCGTCTCTCAGGCGATGTGGCTCGCAATTATCCAAAATTGATAATTATATTTTAATTAATTATCGGAAAATGCACGGATTATATCTCAGACTATACATTATTATAATTTTATTATTATAATAATATTGATAATATATATTATTATAATATATATTATTATAGTAATACTATAAAGTTTATTTTTTAAATAATGATAATTATACGTTTATTAAATGGTATATTTTTTAGAATTAATATATATAGATAAAAAAATCAAATTATATATTTACATACATATCTTTGATTTTTGTCTACGGCGCGTTTTTTGCTTTTTTCAACACGGAAAAAGCACCAAATATTGTTTGAGGGATTATGAATTATTGGTAATAGTTATAAATAATTTTCGATAGCCGCCATAGTGATTCGAGTCGCGGATCGAGCTGGACGAAAAACGCCTGTGTGTGTGTGCTTAGGACTGTATTTAAATATGAATTTTCATTCTTCTGAGACAAAGACAGCCAATATTTACGCTTTGTGCCAACACTGCCGTGTAATTAAACAATCGATCGTTTGATCTTCGAGCAACGATAATGATGAAGCGACTTTGTAACAGCTTAGCTGAATTTGCATTCCTGAAAGCATTAATTAATTACACAACCGGAGTTTTTTAAAGGGAATATATGAAATAATCAAGAGTTTACAACTTGTAGTTTCAGACAGAAAATTTTGAAGGTTGAACTTTATTATTAAACGAGTTATTCAATCATTTTTACAACTCCGATATTGACGAGTAAAATGCTGAATTGTATTACAAACAAAACAATTTCCCGATTACGTCGAGCGCATCGCGAATTTCATTGCAGAAGAAAGAAATCAACGTAATTCATCGGATAATTGTTTTAATCCTAAAACGATAATGATATTGCAAAGCTGTTTATAGTACTTAAGAATTTCTGGTTATTGTTATACCGACATTGTGCCACTGCCTCGATTTTCTTCCACGAAAAATATTTTCATGCCCGATCGGAATCATTATCGAGCTATACATTACAGAAGCAACTGATAAGCAACTGATTTAATTCTTGCAAACGCTGGAGTCATTTAAATGTGGAAGGAAGCTCGTTTCTTGTAGAATCTTAATCGAATTGGTAATTGATCGTGAGAGATTGTTAAAAAATTAAGAATTCGCTAATTAGCAATCGAACGATTACTTAATTAACGCATTGCGAATTATTAGGAAATTGAAATTCAAATTTCACTAGATTGGAGCTTAGGAACAATAATTATTCAGTTAATTGCGAAGCGAATCTTACAAATGAATCTTGCGGAAAGAGCGCGAAGAGAGTCCTGCGAAAATCGGCTGCGACATTCTTTTTATTTAACCGATTAGTAATTTGATAATTGAATATGGGTGATTATTCCCGTCGATACGTCGATTATAAATCGGTGTGAGAAAAGAACGTGTGCATGAAAGAAAGAGAGAAAGAGTGAAATGCAAGAGAGGAAAAGAATGCGAGTGAGAGAAAGGGTGTGTGTGTGTGCGCGCGCGCGCGCGCGCGTGTGAGAGAGAGAGAGAGAGAGAGAGAGAGAGAGAGAGAAATTGTAAGAAAGAAAGTGGGAGGATAAGATGTTTTAAGTAACTGTGATTTTTTTGCAAATGTTTTATATATATATTATATATATATGTATGTTATATACACAAATATGAATTAATTTCTACACATAATATAAATGATGTTTCGATGTCGCTGTGTTTATACGGATTAGGCTAACATATCGTTAATGAAAATGATGATAATGATTATTACGATTATTATCATTATGATTATTATGGATGACAATTATGATTATTATTATCATTATTATTCCTCATTATTGTTACGGAGCTCGAATGTTGCTGATTGCTTGCTGTAAGTATACGAGGATGGATTGTATCGTCGATTATTAGCGCATTTTTACGCCTCATTAAACAAATTGATACGGAAGCGACGTTCATTCGTCACGACGGAAATTCTTGTGCATTTCTTACTTTCTTAGGATTTGTTTATTAGGAAAAAAAAAGCTTTTGTTATTCGTACTTATGGCGCCGTTTCAATTTGCGCCGGATGCTTTTGTTATTTAATTTTTTCCTTCGTAGCGTTTTTTTGTGTTAAATAAATATTTATACGCGACAAAGAAGGTATTCGTATGCCGTTGCTTCGCCATGAATCGCTCTTTTCTCGAGACACACTTTTCAATATAAATTAAGCAACGATACAGAATTTTTTTGTTATCATTGAGACGATATCGATGATGTCATTAAAATTTATTTATTTACTGATAATCAAGTGCAATAAGAAATGACATTGATGGCGAGTCAATAGCTGTGCGAACGCTATTTTTGCGCACTGTAATTAGCGCGTTAATTTAGGGATCGCAATTGAACATTAATTTACGAAATATTAATGTTGCGACTTGGCGAAATTTCCAGGTAAGCATATGGTTTGAATAAATCGGCATATCTACCTCACTCTCGTCGTTTTTAATATCATGTCATATCACTCGCCTGGAACAGCCCCTTTAAGTCCAATTTAATTAGCGTCCAGCCTCAGAGTACGTAAATCCTGACAAATCCTTTCAGGAGGCCGTATCGATCTCGTGATGCAATTTACAACAATTAATCCAAATAATTAAATTAATCGTTTAACTGATAAGCAGATAATATTTGTTGCAAAAAGAGGATGTAAGATGAAAGATGTCGTATTTCATCGTGCAAAATACGCTGGATTTCCGAGACACCCCATATATCCACTCAAATTGACGAGTTCGGAGTTGAAGGGTTGCTCCTCCTCTCATCCCTCACACGGCGAATGCGCGCGCGCATATCAGTGATAAGCCGGCTTCCTTTGATTTTCCGGTGTAGAAACCGGCGTGCCGGTCGGTACCCTCTCTCGTGCGCGCCGCGCCCTGCCGCTGTTGGCGTCGCGACGCATCGCGACGGCGACGCGACGTACCCGTTCCGCGTAAACGCGGAAACGAAGATGCACCGCCGGCAGGTGCGCGAGTCCTCAGGTAATTCAGCGATTATCTCGAAGACGCATTCGTGTACTGATCTGCCTTTCTCCTTTTTCGAGCACGCGACTGTAAATACTATAAAAAATACAGTGATTGCTGCCAGTGTTTACGGATCGAAACGAGCGTTAAACGGCATTGACGGTTGATTGTTTGGATGTCGAGATGTGAATAGTTTTTGCAGATCAAGGAGTCCAGCTGGTGCCAACAATGAGCGTTGGGAAAGCGAGTAGAGGCGTTTTTGATGAATTTTGACGAGTTCGAGCTTCGGATCGGATTCGATCGGCCGCGTGCTCTTTCGATCATTGCAGATTTCTGAAGAAGTTAACATTTTAGTGAAAATTTCAGTGATCACGAAATTGTTGAATGTGGAAATGGTGTTGTTTGGACGGATAAAGCAAAAGTAAATAAATGATAAAATCTTATCGCGCTGACACGAGTTAGTTACAAAACCGCAGAAGCCGAGTCGTGAGCTTAATTAATTTCGTTTATGATTTCAATCGGATCGAATAAAACCGTATATATAAAATTTCACACGAAACATTTATGTAATATAATTTATGGGTTTGATATTGAAAATGACGCTGTAAGCGATCAAGAAGATTTCAACAATTGTTGGTCGCGTTATACTTTTATTTAGAAAATAAGTGTACTGAAAATTGATAAAAATTCCCGTAGTTGAAAGAGGCAATCCGGTCAAGGCCGCGTTTGTACATAGGTATCGCTGGTTACACGCCGTAAGCAGCTTCGCTATTTATACAGGCAGACCGCGTGTGATTATTATTATTATTTTAGTTTACTCTGTTTAATTTTTGTTAGTTTACCGATCGCACGTTATGTATGTGGCACCGACAACACGTGTGCGATAGCCACCTTGTATAAAACGGAGTCTCGTGCGATCGATCGAATGTGCACGACGTGGCGCACTCCTGGAAAAGTACCAGTCTTCTTGAATCATCCTGTATACATGAGAGAGTATTTCGAGACCTCGAAAATTTAATTCGCAAAATGTCCACCTCAACTTTCGAGCTTTCCTCAATCAAAGAAAATACGTTGCGAAATTTGTCCCAATTTTTTACTAATATTTTTAAAATGTGCAGAAAGAATATCTAATTCAGCTTTCTTTCAACAATAATTGCGAATTCAGTGTTTTTCTTCATGTAACTTAACTATTAATATATATCACAACAGATGAGTACAATTGAACACGTTTTGCGACTTTCAATGGAGAACAGAAAATTAATCCCAATTATACAATTGATAATCACGCAAGCATACAAGTTCAATTGTACGACTGACAATCACGCGAACATATCTCAATCGCAAAATCGAGAAGTATTACGCGACTTTTCTCTTCAAAGGCCTTTAAAAGCCTTGAGTTTACGGCACGCGCAAACTTTGCTTTCTCTTTTTTTTTAAGCAGTCATCTCTTACAAATCAAGTAAACGTGAGATATGGGTCATGAAGGTGCTCATCGAGTGAAAAAGAAAAATAACGTCACTCCGCTCTTTGAGGACCTTCGTCACTCTCTCGTCTTGTCCGCCACCCTCCCATTCTTAGCCACCCCTTTCTCGCGCAAGCTCCGTTCATCCACCACCAGCTGCAGCTGCGCGAGCTCCTGCACAAGAACAGGTGCACACCCTTTCGTAACTGCAGTTGGCAGTACGCTGCTTCTCATATTGCAAATCTGACGTTTAGTTAAACAAATCTGATAACGGCTGTTACATCAAGTCTCGCACTTGGCGACGCGTCCCGGCACTACTTTGTTTATCATTGGTTCGCCACGTCGGTTCTCCGATGAATAATAAGCTCGAGGCTTTGTTCGATGAAATTTCGAGAGTGATCCTTAATCATCATGGGGATGCTTAACGGTGACGATTGAGGGGTTAAAAGCGAAAGTGGTGTAAGTCGGCACTTACTACCGCTTTCGCCTTTTATTAAGCATCTCGTATCGCTGTGTTGTCAAATTATTGTCGCAGCTCGCAGCATTGTTACATTTCGCTGAAGCAGCTTACGAGCAATATGCAAATTAACTCGTTGATCTCACAATGGTAGTATCTTAATTTTCCTCTCATTTCGAAACTAAACACACATTCGCGATAATGCTGTAATCGCACCGTTGTGAAATCTATGCACGATTGATAAAAAGAAATCTTTGTATAATCTTGTTTTCGATTTCAGTAAGATTGTTCTGCGTCTAGCATTAAGAAATGATAATTATTATAATTGTAGTCTGCACGCTATATATGTACTCTCTCGGACGAGTTATGATACACGTGTCGTTCAGAGATGTATCGTATAGCATCGCGATGTAGAATTACGGATTACGCGATATAATTTTCGTTACGTTGAACTTTCAGACGAATTATGATACACGTGTCGTCCGAGTGCGCGCATAGGTATGATCGGGTGAAGCGAAAAGGCGCGGCTTTCTTCACGAATCTGTTCAAATCGAGAAAGCTGGCGATAGGGATGAAGATTAACGAGGACGAGGAGATAGAACGTGCGCCCAGGGTGGAAACTCCTGGTAAGATATCTCTTTCAGCGATCCTTCGCAAACTTTTTATCGCTAAGAAAAATATCCGTAACATTCTAGAAAAATGTGTGAAGTTTCTCATTGCTTATCTTCCGTCAATTTTGTTGATTTAAAATTAGACGCAATTATTACATGCATCTTGTTGCACTAAGCTTTTAATTGGAGAATTTCCAAAGCTTTTAATTAGAAAATTTTAATTAATTTTATGTTATTTGGAAAATAATACAGAGCTGTATTAAGCCGCCCGTGCAGAAATAATAAGCGGTATGTTACTATATGACACAAAAATTATTTAACCATTAACTCAAGTTAAATAATTAAATGTGGCCGACAGTTACCCTAAATTTCAGTTACTTTTATCCTATTTTTCTCAATTTAATCGATAAGATAAATTGATAAATTATTCTTAACGAAATAAATTCTTAATAAAATTAATATTTATTATCTCATATATTCAATTAATAAAAAGTTATATGAATTATATTTCATATTTAATGCCGGTTTAATAAAAGGCACAGAGCGTGTGATCGATAACACAAGCGATATTGCTTGCAGCAATTATCACCACCGCTTGTCGTCGAAGCGGCTCGGAAAATGACAACGTGATGTCACGAATTCCGTCGACCTTGAGTGTGACAGCGGTGGACGTCGTTGTCTCCTGTCAGCCGTCACCCTCACACTCAATTCTGACCCTGACACCCGGTAGAACGCGTAACATCGATCAGGACATGGAGGCGCTCAGACTGAGTCGTCAGGACAATCCGTTTCTACAGGTTCGGCCCGGTTATCATATTACCTATAAAATATTTATTTCCGGGACACTTTTTTTGGAAGTTTTTCAATATCGAATAATTTTGAAATCAATAGAATTTTAAACGATTCAAGCTATCTTAATTTAATACAATTATGAAAAATTAATATCTTTTAAATTTTAGCAATTCAGGAATTATTGGAACTTTAAAGTTCAGCACTTTAAAAGTATCAATTTGTATGAAAATTATTAAACTGTTATCGCGTGCGATACGATTCATTTCTCATGTTTTGTGATTTTTACGTGATTTCTTGATCTGCGTGATTTCTGTCTGACTTACGATCTCTGATTTCTCTGTATATCAACGTATTATTACACATTAAATATTCAAGTTTCTTTATAATACATGATCGATGCGATTGTGCAAATTTTTTCTAATTATGCAGGTATTAGCAAGTCGAGAAAGCCTCGTGGAATCGATCGAGGAGTCCGAGTCTGACGATGCGATTTTGATGTCGCAGGTAAGACTTCGATACAATTTTCAGCTGCAGCAAGATATAAGAAACTTTTATTCCTAGCAAAATAACATCTTACTTTTCTCCGCGTCAAAGCTCCATTAAAATTTCTTGTCAAAGTGTCTTATAAAAAAGGTGGTACTTTTTTTTCAACTCTTGGTTCAGAAATGAGAATCCAAGAGAATTAATTTAAGATTTAATTAAAGATGAGATTGGCGAATGTTTGTTCACAGTTGTTTGAATGAAACTTGAAGTAAAACGCGATAAGAAAACGCCGTCAGTCAACTTCCCCGAAAAAGATAGCTACGTATATTTTCAGGAATTGGGTGACGCGGATCCTCTCACACTGGCGCAGGTACACGAGCACCTTGTACGCAGTCCGCCCCCGGCTTCGTGGCCCAATTCCACGGGTCACTTCCAATTTCCCCTTCAGGATCAGAGCATCACTCCCATTAAGAACGATGTGGCACCACCAATTAAGAGCCCGTCAAAGACGCCGTTGCATCGCGGCAACGAGCACGAGTTGTCCAGAAGTGAACCGTCGACTGATATCAGAGGTGAGAATTAAAAAAAAAAAAGGGCATACGCAAAAATGTATAACGACGTATAAGATGTGAAACATTTAACATTTGGAATTCACATCGGGAATTGTGATTTCTCAAATGTAAATAAAATGTAGATAAAAAATTGCTATGTTTCTAACTAGACTGTTTGTTTCCGGAAAGTTGGTGTTGCAATAATCATAAATCATTCATGAAGGTGTATATGCAAATGAAATTGTTTAATCGAACCGACGAGGAATTCTCTGCGTGTCTATGACACGATATACGCGGAGATATGGATCGGAGCTTCGGCAGATCGATCCATTCATAACAGATACTTATGCCCGGCCTTGACATTGCACTTATAGACACGCGCAATCTTGCTCTCTATCTCTCCTTTTTTCACGCGCATATATACGATGTCTATATTTTTAAGCTGAATAAATTAAGGTTCCTAAGTGGGCGGTCGGCAGAAAGTATCGCTATAGCTCTCACTATTCCACCGCTATCGTTGGATCAATAAAACAATTACGAGACTTGCACAATTTATAATCATATTCATCAAGATTTTCGCACGAATAATAATTGGATAATTACAAATTATAGTTTATAACTGTGTTCACTTAAATTCATGCTCGTATAATGCTTATTAACTTAAATTTATAATAATTCTTTCTGCTGAGAAATGTTCATTGATAAATCTGAAATAGTTTCTAATATATTTCTAACTCTTATTTTTTTTATTTTAGATCGACACTGTCACCCTTTTTCGTTACTTCATCCGACGCCGATTCGCTCGTTGTCGGAAGTTCGACGACTTCATCGATCGGCGGATGACAGCGTCCAGCTCATGTCAAACGAATAAACTTCGCCAGAATCCGATCCTGATCGGAACGATTTCTCGTGACCGAAGGATATCGATTTTTAATCGTGCCAATATCCTTCGAAAAACAGCGACTATTGGTGGGTCAAAGAAAGTTTCGTTTGTGGAAACGAATCGGTAAAGTTTGTCTTAATAAGTTGTTCAGAGAATAAGAAGTACGAAGAACCGTCAAGGATTTTCGTATGTTTGATACTTGGTCAGATTGGAGTTACTATATGTTCGAGGTGAATATATGACACGAGGCGATCACAGAGCGATTAACGATGCTTTGCAACGCAATGAACGTTGTTTCTTTTCCAAGTGCAATCAACATTCCATCAAGCGTGAAAAAACAAATGCGGATGTTGAAAAAAAAAAAATTTTTTTATCGTTAGAATTTATTGAATCTGGAAGTTCAATAGATTATTGAATTTTTATTGATTTTTAATTAACTTATTGTATAATTATATTAATTTATTATTTCTCAAATTATTCACAGACTTTAATTAATTTAATTAGCTTTTTAATGAATAATCTGTTATCACGATCACATATTTTATCAATAGGCCTATTTTTACAGTCAGTCAATAAATAATCAAATTACAGCATTTTTTAAAATATTTTTTTTATATCTATAATAATTAAATATTACGCGCATCTGTTTGATTTTTATTTATTTACGAACAGCGTACGAGTAATTAATGTTAATTATTAATATAAACACAAATATTCTGGAAGAAATATTCACTTTAACTTTTCAAGGATAATTAAAATCGATGGATCTGATGGATTGATGATCCAAAGATGTGTGGAACATCTTATATATACGAGTTTTCAAAAGATTTGAAGAAATGCACTATTGCATAATTATATTATTAAATTAACGAAGATATTATCTCTACTAAATCGTCAGCCGAGAGAATTAGAGTATCTAATATATTGCATTTTCAAATTTTAAATTTGGTATAATTTTAATGCGATTGTATTTTTAGACTTCGTCTCGAAGAGCAATATATCGTTATGTAACAATCGTTAGAAAGCACGATGCATATTTTATTAAATTATTACTTATTACACGATAATATCAAAATCTGTTATTGACATGACAGTTATTGTTGACGCACATGTCTGTAATTATTCGTGCAATTTAAATGTCTATTTTGTGTAGCCGTTTTAGAAATGTTTCATATTTACTTGACTATCTTTTTTCTAACATTGATTGATGGTTCTTGATTGTTGTTAAGCTAGTAGAAGTATTTTTGTCGATCATATTCTATGTAAAAATTTCTTTTTCAAACCATCGCGAGGAAATTGTAAACACAGAAATGCACAAGAATCTATCCGCTATTTAAACTCACCTTTACAGCAATGTAAAGAAAACAACATCACACACGCTCGTAAAAATTTATAACAACCAAAGGATAATTTTAACGCTGACGATGCGCCAAATGTACAGGCCTCAATTAAACAATTCCTCCAATTAGATAAATAGTCGAATAGTCGTAAGATCTTTTTTATGGGGCAAAATACAGTGGATGGGTTTATTGATAACGATTTACTTCCGATATTGAAAGTAATATTTCTTTTAACGATAAAAACCGTCGCCAATGAATTTTCAACGAATCAGAAATACGTTTCTTTGATCTTCTTTTTCTAGAATGGTGTGAGCGATTTTCGTAAATAATGTAAATAGAATCTGACGTGCTCTATTCAATATGATAAAACTTTTACTACAAGATTATATAAAATAGAATTTGAAACTTTACAAGACTTGAACAAAATTATTGCATTGCTGCATTTGAAAAGAAAACACCAAATAATTTAAGTTAAACTTTTTCAAAGTCTTCAATTGCATATTAAATTTATTTCCAATTTGCTATGAAAACTAATGTTTGAGCCCGTCAGTTTCTTTTATTGAGATTTGTCAAAAAATATTTGATACAGTTTTTTCGGATGTAAATTTAAATAGGAACGCGGGTGGCCGACCGAATACAGTAGGATCTTACATATATTTATCAGAAGTGTAATACTATTAAAGTACTCTTATTCAAATTCATACATATTCATATACTCATTCATGTATAAAAACCATATAAATCAATCGTTAGGACAGCTCCAAATTCATTAATGTAAAGCGAGAACTGTATTACAAATAGAGAAGATATATTTCTCTTAAGCAAAAGTATCTTATAAATCTCATTTCGGCCGCGGCCACCCGACGACATCGACGAAGACGATCGGCGCAATTTTAGCAGGGTTTATACGAACTTTGGGAAAACAGTAGCAAAGTACCTAGAGAATTATTATATCGAATTAGAGAGTCCAAACGACTTGGCCATTGAGAATTGAGATTAATTATATTGTACTTGTATTTAGATCTTATAAGCGTTAGTCTGAAAGCGCTCAGAACGAAGGCGCGTAACGAGATAAACCAACAAAAAAAAAAAGACCGTAGAAAGACTTATTTAATCTAGTCGAGTGTAATATACAGATTCCACGTGGAATGTTTGAGAACATGTAACACGTTTGGCGCGACAGTGGACTATGTTCGGAATTTGTAAAGTTTATTCTGAATATAAAACCATATGGTGGATTTTTAGTCAACAGATCTTAGATGCGGCTTCAAATTCAAAGCGCAACTTACGGATTCAACCGTCACTTTCTTTGAATAATCGACATGATAATGAGAACATTATCAAGAGCCTGTAGTACCAAAGATTCTCCGTACTGTGAGCGACTGGTGTATTAAAATCTATAAATAGCATAAATTACCGTAACGATTTGGGTCAATGATCTTTATTATCGAGACTAATGGTACCAAAGTACTAAAAATCCAGTTGATTTTGATGATAAAAATCGTAGAATTCTCAAACAAATCAGAAGCATCCTTGTCTGTTCTTCTCTTTCTAGGATGACTAATGACTTTTGTAAATAATATAAAAATCTTATATCAGCCACTCGTGATACAGAGAATTCGCGGTACGCAGGATCGAGATTATCCTTGAACGCAGAATTATTCTTAGCGAACATTCTCTCAACAGCCAAATGCTGCAAGATAGTTTTTATCTTGTCGCGATGTAACGGCCTATAAGAGCATGCAAACTCATCGAAGGCAATGAATCATAATAACGACATACGGGACGAATATTTTCACCGATTATACTTCATAGAACTTTGAGGGATTCAGGGCTGTGCGTGTGTACCAGAGAGTTTCGTTACGCGAACACATTGCGAAACGGCACCGAATAAACAGGAAAGAACTCTCAGGTGGATGCGCGGCTTCATTCGAAACATTTTGCATCTTGTAAAACGTATGTTACACACATAGAACCCTAATTATGAGGTTTCTCCATATAAAGTCTCATAACAGGCTGGACAGTACTTCGCCGCATCGTTTCACAATAATTCATTAAAGAGATCACTATCAGTTGCAATATTACATCTCATCCATTTTAACATTTTTTTTTATCTCCATAATTATTAATGATGTTTGACTTTGTGTGCAAAAACGAAAGGCAGAATATCAAACCATGACACGATAATCTGAAACACTCAGAAGTGAAATTTGAAAAACAATAAAGAACTGTAACATGACCAAAAAAAGTGTATTATAGAATGATAATAATTAATAGAAAATCTACGAAAAAAATCTATAAAGAATTATAAAGACAAATGAGAGTTTGACAATACCAATAATTTCCCATGAATTTTTCACATGTATATTTCGCCACTCGTGTTTGCATACAAATCAAAGAGTTGTGGTTATTAATAACATTAACATACCTGAGTGAGTGTGTTAAAGAAGCAGAGGATGTCCACACACACAAACACATAAACATTTGCAAAATATGCATTTTACGGTCGCGCAAAGTTTCTCGCTGCGATCTCTAGATGTGTTTGTTGTTTTCGAATAAAAATGAAATATATTTGTGTTACTGTAAACCTAAACGTCACATCGTGCGATTTATTGCTTCCTGTCCTCTTATGTCGATCTTACACACTTCAACACTTCGCACTATTTATTTAATAATTGTCGCGCTACTGTATCTAGTTTTATAATATTTTTTTGCGAATTCTTGCTTTGTTTATCGTATTTTTTTGGGACAGTAATTTGACACAATAAACATGACAGTCATCTTTTTCTGTGAAACAGGAGCGGCGACTCAATTTAAAATTTCGCATATACATGATCGGTTTGTATTGGTTGTACTATTATTATGTAAGATTCACTTGCTCCAATATACAACAGAGATATCCAATTAAAAAAATGTACTTTTTAGGAATTTTATTTAATGTCATGTTTGTCTCTAAAAGAAAAAGTCTCCTATTGGATACTGGACATTAAGATTGTACTGTGAATCCGGCATTACTCTAAGAAAAAATAACGGTTGGTACAACTGTCGATTGAGTACACACGTGATAGTCACATGGGATATGATGTGATATTAACCGATACTAACACGTGAAAAAGATTAAATTAGAGGTTAGATTTAAAAATTGTTTTAAGATTAACTTTTGAAGTATTTACTCTTTTTTTTTACTACACAGTATTTGTGATATATAATATTATAATTTACAGTTTTCGTGAATAAGGTATCTAAAAATCTATTTACGAATTATTATATTTATAAAATAGTTTTAAATTAAAAAATTGCTTATTGAAAAATAGTTGTTGAAATAAGCGCCGCTATATGAGCGTTATAAAGTGTCTAATTTTGTATATATGTATAAATTTTTTTAATACATTGTTTTTATTATAGACGAAATGGAAGCATTATTAATTGAATTGGCTGTAGATTTATACAATGTTCAAGCCGTAAAATTTGGAGACTTTAAGACAAAAATCGGTTTAAGAACACCGGTATATTTCGATCTACGAGTGATAATTTCATACCCAAAATTAATGGTAAATATACATTTAATTAAAAAATCTTGAGTGAATTCTTAATAGAATTTCTCTAAACAAAATTTTATTTTATATGAAATTTATTATATTTATTTATTTTTTGTCTAAGTTTATCTTTATTTTCAAATTTATCTTGTTATTACAGTCTAAGTTATCAAAAGCTTTGTGGACACTTCGAGATGATACCACAAAGGTGTCTCAAGTTTGCGGAGTTCCATACACAGCACTGCCATTAGCTACCCTGATATCGGTAGATAATAATATACCGATGTTAATGAAAAGAAAGGAGGCAAAGTCATATGGCACAAAGAAGTTGATTGAGGGTGTCTTTATGCCTGGTGACAACTGTGTGATTATTGAGGATGTTATCACAAGCGGTAGCAGTATCTTGGAAACTATCGATGCCTTAAAGAAGGAACAGCTAAATGTAACAGAGGCATATGTGATAATTGATAGAGAGCAAGGCGGCAGGCAGAATCTTGAGAATCACGGATTCAAAGTTAAGAGCTTGTTTGGCACTATGCAACTTATGAAATATCTTCTTGATGCTGGAAAAATTACGCCTGAAGTTGTCAAAGATGTTAACGATTATTTGACGGCAAATAAAGCGCCGAACGTTTCCATTCAAGGTAAATTATTTTTGCAGACTTATTGTGCCGGTAATTTTATCATAGTAACGTTTACTTTTGTTTATAGGTGTACTAAATGATAGATTAAAACTATCATACCGTGAACGTGTAAAATTAACGAAAAATCCATTGTCTTCAAAGTTGCTAGAGTTAATGGAAACGAAAGAAACTAATCTCTGTCTGGCGGCTGATCTAAGGAAAGCTGATGTGATTTTGGAATTAGCTAATATAACTGGGCCTCATATCGCCGTTCTAAAAATTCATGTAGACATTATAGAAGATTTTAACAAGAGTTTTATTTCTGAACTTAAGAAATTGGCAACACAACATCAATTTTTATTGATGGAGGACCGCAAGTTCGGCGATATCGGAAATACTGTATCATTGCAATACAAGTATGGCTTATACAAGATTGCCGAATGGGCCGATTTGGTTACAGTGCATCCCGTATCCGGCGCGGCCGTCATTGATGCGCTGAAGAGCGAACTGAAAGACATTACTGAGCCTCGCGGCGTTTTCTTAGTCGCCGAGATGTCATCCAAGAATGCATTGACCACTGGCGATTATCTAAAGAGCGCAGTATCGATTGCAGAAATGGCTTCCGATCTAGTGGTCGGTCTCGTAAGTCAATCCGATCTTTCGGCACAACCCGGGTTGCTTCAACTAACACCTGGCGTTAAGTTATCCAAGAGTGACGACGGTTTAGGTCAGCAATACAACAATCCGCAATCGGTTATTAATGCGGGTGCCGATTTAGCTGTTGTCGGCAGAGGCGTTACAGAGGCACTGTCAGACAATTGGCTAACAGTAACTTTAGAGTACAAGAAACAACTATGGGAGGCATACAAAAAGCGAATAAACAAAAGCGGTAAATAATTTATATTCTAGCTGATAATGTTCAACTGATATCCTAATATAATTAATCTAATTTTTAATTTATTTTTGTAATTATATCTTTTAATACAGCTGGTCTGCAAGAAAAGATACATTTTTTTTGTAACATAGTTTTATCAGGTATTCTATAATAATGCGACATGTGGTAATAGAAAATACTGAAGCTGTTAGCATTGTATGTATATGCCATATAGCATTTATATGTATATTGCATAAGTTTCTTCCTAATTATGATGCTACAGAATAAGAATACATGATCGAAAATTAATATACATATTTGCTTTGATATAACAGATAAATAAAAAAAGAAACAATATAAGTTTTTTGATACATTTAATGCTATTAAATGTGTGAAGTCTATTAAGAGATGTAGAACTCTACATACTTTATACATAACTTATTTTATAAAAGTAATAATCAAGCGATATATTTTTTATTTTATATATTTTTTAATGAAATATTGTTATGTATCATAAATATATGAAAGAAATAAAAAATATATACACATAGGCGCCCGCAGAAATTTGTCTAGGTAGGGGCAAGTCTAAAATTCTCGAGGCTATGTTTACACGTAATATTCTGTTATAATAAAAAAAATAGTGAGAAACCTGTGTAGCTTAAAGTCAAG